GGGCCAGGTCTGAAATTTGGATTTCTGGGTCAGGCCCAAGGGATTATTTTTTTGAAGTGTTTTCTTTTACTAAATTAGACACCAAGACTCTGTCAGCCATTCCAGATGTCCAAATCTATGTATTACTGGTATATACCACTATAGTAGAAAATGATACATTTATTTTTTTGGATCAAAACTCTCTTATCCCTGTACCCTATCCTAAACTAGACTGAAAAAACAGCTTGAAAGCATACTGGTGCGTAGGTCTGAGATTGGATTGGGAAACCATATATTGTGGGTGTCACTCCATGGTGACTGACTTTCTTATAGACCGACAACACTTACTGATGTGCATGAGTGACTGATTGACTGATCAACTGAATAAATAGTGGCTAACTGGCTGTGAGTCTTCCATAATATTGCCTCATTATCTGTCAATCATTTTGATTGACAGAAAGTCATGTTACTGTTCAAGTTGATGACTGTATGGGAGTATTGGACTTCCATCCCTCATTAGAGGTAGGAGTTGTATATCTCAGTGAAGCTGATCTGGTGGCAGGAGGAGATAGTTACAAATCCAAGCTGCTCAAACTTGCCAAGGTACTGGATACATGTAGAATAATGGATTGTTCAGGTTAAAGATAAGCAGCATCTACCCAAATAGTTTCTTTTTAAAGTAACACACCATATTGACTACCTAGGGCAAACATTGATGTCATCTATGCTTTATTAAAGATTGCAAAATGCTTCTCACGCCACAAATTTTTTTCATCAAGGTTTTATTCTTCAATACTATTATTCCTCACTGTTGAGAATCAAGGGATACATTTTGCATATTTTGGGAGGACCTTGCACGAAAGTTAGAGAGGATCTATAAGATGAAAATGGGGTCCCATTTTGCCAAAGATAAAGAAATATTTTCATGGTAGGGATTTGGATCACACATGGTAATGCACATGTCAACAATCTACCATTCCAATAATTGTATTCATCTTTGTTACTTTCCTTCTCTTTAGGCTTCATTTAGGAAAGTTGTGTTGGCAGAAAAGACTTCTTTGAGTTCCCAGTACTTCTATGATCTACAGAAGTTCATTGTCATTGAAAGAGGCCTAGCACTTCTTCCAGTGACATCACCTACTGAAGCAGGCAAAATCTTGGCTCAAATGGTAAACCCTCTTTTATTGAAAACTTTCTGAAGGTTCTGTGAGTGTGTTCAACTTGCAGCTAAAAGTGCAGAACTATTGAGAAAGCTCTATTCAAAGAAACGTTGGCTGAGATCAATGTTTTCCTAATGGAACAACATTACAAAGATGGTTATTTTATTTTTTCGAAGAGTTTCCTTGTATTGGCTCCCTTGGTTTTTTGTGTGATACCAAAATTCAAGCTTTAGTTCTCTCTTATGTTTAGTGCTATGAAAATATTCTTTTAGCCCTGTATATTTTACGTCAACCATTATTTTTATGGTCTTTGAAAACTTCCTTGTAATATTTTTTAACTTTCTTACTGACAAAACAAGTTGTTTCCAGGTGTTTTTGGAGAGCAAGCCCCAAAACAACCCTTATCGGATCAAGGTAAAACCTACACCAACCGACCAAGCCTTACTGACAACACTTCAGACAGTTCCAGGTTTAGGACAAAGAAAAGCAATGGCCCTGTTAGCTAAGTTCAACAGTAAGAAAATGAATATTGTTATTCTGATACCATTCATATTACAACAGGTTTCAGGGCTTGAAAAAAACTTGAATTCCAGCTTTTCCTTTGGGCAAGCAGCTGTCTCATTTTGCTTAGCTGGGGCAACTTCTTGTTCTTCTTAGAGCGCTTTCCATTTGTCAGAACTGGCCGGCTTGACCATAGCCTGACCAGTCAGTTTGAAAATAAAATAGGCTTTTTCCAAGAGTTTTTGCTGAAAGACTTTCTCCTTCCTGCATACTATTAAATTAATAGTATGCAAGAAGGATAGGATTTGACTGATCTGGCTGGAGAGTTTTGATTAAAAGGGAAATTATTGTTGCAACAGGAATGGTCTGGCCAGTCAGGTGTGACAAATGGAAAGCGCCCTTAGTTAACCCTAAAAGTCCCAATAGTGACCAACATGAATATTCTCCTAACTATATCAATACATTACCAAGAGAAAAGGTCAGGAGAATGAACAAAATGATAAACAATAGAGAAATACTTTGATCTTTTATCAAGTTCTCCCAACTAATTCTATAAGGCAATGTATGGACACTGGTGAGGAGAATTTGAATTTGGATATTGGGGCTTGTTAGAGGATGACT